ACCTAAACTAGATGGGCTTATACAAGACAGAATGTGGTAGCCAACTAATTTAGTTGAGGTGGGAGAATGCAAGGAGCACAAGGGAAGGAAGCATCATATTAACTCGAGTCCTGGTGTGGCACTGTAGGATAAGCATTGGACCACAAGGTTGCTTTGAACTGCAAGATCGGGGTTCGAACTCACCAGCCACTCCTTGGAAACCCAAACAGGATCGCTATGAGTCAGAACTAACTCGATGGCACCTAAAAACAACAAAGTCTATATGGGCCCTAGTGTGATGCTAACTCCAAGGTCAGCAGTTCAAACCCACCAGCCACTCTTAGAAACTCTATTCAGAGTCACCATGAGTTGGAACAGACTCGATAACACTTAACAACCACCACCTAGTCTATATGTTTGGACATCTTTTCCAACTCCACTCTCAGTTCTGTTCCTTTTTCCAAAGGTTCTGAATGTTTCCATTTCTCCTTTATTTTTCTTTTTAGGTCTGTCAGGATCTTTTTGTACACTTCTCTTTGGAGCAATCTACATGTCCATGACTCTATTGGTTCTCTCCCAACCATCTCTGCTGTTCTTTCTCTCAGAATTTTGGAGTACAGGATCTCTTTCCATTACAACTCACTGTTTTTCAAATGTTCTCTGTGGTTCTATTTTTCTTTAGTTCTCTCACTCTCTCTGTCTCTTAGTATTTGTGACTGTGTCTCTGGTACCAGGTGGAGAATGTGGACTCTGATCCTGAATCATGCCTTCACAACTGGGAGTCTGCCAAAGCCTGAAACAGGTTTGAGCACCCAGAGTTCTTGTTTCCGGATCCTCCCCAGGTTGGTATGAAGCATGCTTAGGACTAAGTGACTGGGCTACCCCCTGCCTGGCTTAGGACCTCTCTGTGGGTGTATAAGACTAAGTCTTCAGTCTTCTTCTGTGTCTTCAGACACTGAGGAGCTGTGTTACTAAAACATGTCACCTTTAACCCTAGGGCTGCAGAGAAAGGAGCTATTGATTAGTTTGTTGTTGTTGTTGTTGTTAAGTGCCATTGAGTCGGTACTGACTCATAGCGACACTTTGCACAACAGAATGAAACACTGCCCGATCCTGGGCCAACCTCACTATTGTTACCATGCTTGAACCCATTGATGCTGCCACTTTGCCAATCCATCTTGCTGGGGGTCTTTCTCCTTTTCTCTGACCCTCCACCTTACCAAACATGATATCCTTCTCCAGTGACTGGTCCCTCCTGCAATATGTCCAAAGTATGAGAGACGAAGTTTGGCCATCCTGGCCTCCAAGGAGCATTGATTGGAGGGGTAGAGGAAAAACACAGTCCTTGTGTGGTGATGTAGGATAAGCGCTCGACCATAACATCAGTTTGAACTGTAAGGTTGGTGGTTCAAATTCACCAGCCACTTTTGGAAACCCTATACAGGGTTGCTGTGAGTTGGAACTGACTCAACAGCACTTAACAACCTTCTGCCATGGATTGGGAGAAAAGGCTGATGTAAGAATGAAAATTCTTCTGGGGTCTTAAGGCTAACCAGAAGTTTGGACCCACCATACTGTCAGACATTTTGGAGCTGAAGAAGACTCACAGGATGTGTCTTTGTTGTAGACCCATTCATGCTTTCTGCCCTTGTCCCTGTTCATATATTCTTCATAGGCCCTCCCATCCACTCCCAAAGCTTCTACAAGTTGGTGACAGCCAAGTATCCTGAGACTGGACCCTCCGTAAGGCCCCATACCAGACCTATAACTACCTGCCTGATGGACACCCCACTTGGATGTCCCACAAGGATCTCCAGTCCAACAGGTGCCCCGCAAGTAGAATTCAAATTCATTAAAAACAACAACAAAAAAAACCCCTCATTTTTCTCCTTCAGTGAATAGTACCACCCTCTATCCTATGACTTAAGCCAGAAACCTGGAGCCATCTTTGCTCTCTTTTTTTCTTCACTCATTGACATTTAATCATCAAGCCTTTTGGATTCTACTTTCTAAATTTTTGGCCCACATTTCATCCTACTCAAAGGTTCCATTACCTCTTAACTTGATCTCGTAATAGGGTTTGTTGACTCCATCTAGCCAGAGCAATCTTTCTAAAATGGACATTTCATCATCTCACTTTTTATTTTAATGTTTTATTGTGAATTATGTGATAGTTTACATGGGATAACATTAGTTTTACATTCATTCGATCGTATATCGTCTCATTGCCATGGTTACAATCCCCTTCATGCAATCCTTCCCCCGTACCCCCCAGGTCTTCAGCACACAGTTGCTCTCCCTCTCTGGGACTAAAGTCTCCAGCTGCTCCATTGCTCCACATCATCATCTCTGGCTCCATTTCAGGCATCACTGCTTCTCTGGGTAGGGTCCCGCTCTCTGCTCTTCTCCATTGATGATCCTAGGGACCTCCGCTCCTAGACTGAAAAGTTAATCACTCCCCTCCTTGCTATAAAACATCTACCTTTACATTTCCAACCCTCACAATCAGTCCTGATAACAGTTATTCACTATTGTGTCACAAGAGACCCGTCTGTATTTCATTGCATCAACCCCGCCTAGACAGATTGAATACTACTCACCGGAGATTCTACCTTCCTCCAGGCCCTCTGGATCTAGGTTCCCTCTTGAAAGCTTGTAAGCCAGTCACTTCTTGTCTTTATAGCCCCCCACCCCCCATTTTGGGTAGCCAATGTCCAAGTTGCCCATCCCTGTCTACTCTGTGTGTGGAGGGGGTGGGAATGATTCTTTCTTGCTGTAAGGACTTGTTCCCTCTTTTGAGCTACTGCTTCCATAGGTGTAGGTCAAGTTCATCAAATTGTATGAGAATACTTTTTTTTTCCCCTCTTCTTTTTACTTAAGACCCTTCAGTGGTTTTCCATTGCCCTTAGGATAAAATTCAAAATACTTAGGATGACCTTCAAAGGGTTTCTTTGACCTCCTTGGTGGACTCGTGACATAAACTGGTCAAAACAGAGAGAAGCATTTGATGACTGAGAGAGCCCATCCATTCTGTGTAGGACGTGGATCTGGAGACACACAGTCATCTTATAACTCTGATGAGGGTAAAACCACAGACGGCAGAGTGGAGTGGTGGAAAGAGGTCCTTGGTGGCACACTGAACTGACGGATTAAGTTAACCTAAATCCATCTGCATTTGGACTTTTCAACTGCATGATAAATTTTATTGTTTAAGCCACTTTGAATTTACTATTACTTGTGACATCATCTTACTGATAAAAATCTCCATGATTTGGCTTCTGCCACCTCTCTTGCCTCTTTTCTCATCACTCTCTCCCTTGTAATCTATATTCTAGACTTACTGAACATCTAGCAGGTCCTTGAATGCATTGCATGCTTGTTCTGTTTTTGTTTTTGTTTTTTACTTCCAAGTCTTTGTACATGCTGTTGTTTGTACATGCTGTTGGACTCCTTTCCTCAACTCTTTACCCCCACCAGCTTTTGATTTCAGTATCAATTTGCTTTTAGTTATCATTTCACATGTCACTCCTCCAAAAAGCCTTCCCTGACTCCTAGACTAAGCACAGCCTCCTCACTGTGTGCTTACATAGTAGTCTCTACATCCCAGTAATGTTCATTTCACTTTGTGATGACTCCTTACTGTATCTGTCATGTTGGACTATAAGCACCAATAAGGCAGGGTCATATTTCTCTTGTCCACTATTTCATCCCAAGGCCTAGCACAGTACCTGGCACATGGTAGGCATTTAAGTTGAATGATTGACAATTGCTCAAAGCATCCCTAAGACTTCTCTAGCATCTAATGAATTGAAAGCAGAGGTGGAAGGTGATTCTGAGGCTGTAATCATTATGGAAGCGGACAGTCTTACATTCCTCCCACAGAACAGCTGGTGGGTTTGTACCACTGATCTTGCAGTTCAAAGGACTTTGCAGTCATACGCATTAACGCACAACACCACACGAGGACTCTGCCTAGCCCATAGGGCTCCTTATATATACCCCCACACATTTTATACAAAAATGCAATCATAGTGTACATCTTGGTAGCTTGTTACTTTCTTTCAGCAATATACTATGTTAATTGTTCCTATTGATAGTTTACCACATCATTTTTAATGTTTTCATATTACTCCTTCAAATGTTGTACCATAATTTTCTTAACCAGTCACTAACATTGGACATTCAGGATGGTTTCAAGTTTTCTGTTGTTATAAAACAACATTGTGTCAGACATCCTATATAAAATACTTTTATACACATCTGTTTTGCGAGGATGCATTCCTAGAACTGAAATTGCTAGGTTAAAACAGTATGCATGTTTTTGTGTGTCTGATACATATTTTTAAAATGTTTCTATCTCTACTGACAATTTTTCAAAAAGCCAAAGTAAAGAAAATCTAGTACATTTAATCTTTGACTAGGCAATACAGACGAATCAACTTAAAGCTTTTGCTTTTAGTGCGAATTATAGCAATCAGACACCACCACGTTGATGATCTACACCTGCTGACCAGAAATTAATTGGATGTCAGGTTTTGAATCAGCAGAAAACGAGAAAGCAAGTTAGTAATTTAAAACCTACAAGCTTTTGCCCAGGGGTCAAAATGTTTCAAACCTTGGATCTTGGCTCCTAGTAGTGAAAGCATTGGAAAAGATGGACATCTGGCATGGGCACAGGGCAGAGTACGTACTATAATTATTGATCTCTTTCCAATCCTACAGAGGTACAGTGTCTTCTGACTGAAGTCCAGTCGGCTGCCCCAACTTGACGGCACATCTAAGGGGGACACATACTGGGCCTGTGGGCACACCCTGCTCCTCTTGACTCTGCCCCCGGCGGCGCTGCGTAAGTACGGCGCCGCCCTGGCGGTAGGGCGAGGCCAAGGCGGAGTAGACTCGGTGCAGTCTTGTCGACGTCCGCAAAAGTAACCTCTCGGCGCAGCTTTCCTGCGCAGGCAGCCTCCAGGCGCCAGGGGACGCGCTCCTCCTAGGCACCGCCCCAAGGCCCGCCCTCGGAGCGGTTTGGATTTGAATCTCCAGCGGGCTGCGACCGGAAGTGCCGACCCCTCTGCTAAACCATGGAGCTCCCTGATCCCCGCTTGCGGTGCCCTTTGCAAGAGCAGCGTGCCCGTTGGGAGCGGAAACGCACCTGCACCTCTCGGGAGCTGCTGGAGACAGAGCGACGCTACCAGGAACAGCTGGGGCTGGTGGCCACGGTGTGGGGCGGGAACCCTAGGGTGTGGGAGGGTCTCTGCGATCTCCGTGACGCTGAGTGTGGTGGGCCATGGACGATCCGCTTACGTGTAGGAAGCTCAGACCCACCTCCATGGTTCTTAGTTGCTCCTCTTCCTCCAGACTGATCCTAATACCTCACTGCCGTCAGTTATTAATACTCCTTTTACTGCTGTTAGTGCTGCCCAGTCGGTTCCGACTCATAGCGACCCTGTATAGGGATTCCTAGTAGCGGCTGGTGAGTTCGAACCGCCTACCTTGAGGTTCAAACCCACCGAGTTCAAACCGACCTTGCGGCCCAGTGCTTATCCTACAGCGCCACACCGGACCCTTAGCGACCCCTATTTAGGCTTTCCATGAATATAAATCTGTGGGAGCAGACAGCTTCATATTTCTCCCACTGAGTACTGGTGGGTTTGAACCACCGAACTTGGTGGTTAGCAGCCCAACGCCTAACTTCCTCCTTTCCTAGTACTTCTTGGGGATTCTGAGAGCCAAGGGGACCCTGCGACTCCCAGAGCGTCAGGCCCTGTTTGGGCCATGGGAACTCATCTACGGTGCCAGCCAGTGAGTGGAGGGGGCATGAAGGGGGTGTTGGGGACTGGGTGGGAGTAAGGAAAGGGGAGGGTTGTTGGTAAGTGCCATCGAGTCGGTTCCGACCTATAGCAACCCTGTATAGGGTTTCCGAGGAGCAGCTGGTGAGCTTGAACCGCCAACCTTACAGTTCAAACGGCTTTGCAGTCTGGCGCGTTAAGGCATTTGGGAGAGCCCTTTCTCAAGCTTTGTACGGAGCTTGGAGTCTGACAAACCCAAATTCAAACACGGAGTGGGCCAGTTAACCTCAATGTAATCTTTGCCTGGTGCCAAAACAGCCCTGGTTTCCTCATCTGTAAAATTCGGTAATAGCGCTACTCTGGAGCAGGGATGTGGGGATTAAATAAGGCAGAGGGTACTTGAGTCCTTCCTAGGCTCTCTTTTATTGTCCTCGTCCACACAGGGACCTGCTTCCCTACTTGGAAGGAGGACACTGGGGACAGGGCCTGGAGGGCTTCTGCTCCCACCTGGAGCTCTACACCCAGTTTGCTGCCAACGCTGAGAGGTCCCAGACCACCCTGCAGGTAACCTGAAAATGACTCCAAACCTGACCTTCTTCCCGTCTTACCCCACACATTTTCTTCATTTGACGATGCAAACTTCATTTCTGCAGAGTCCTCTGAGTGTCCCCCTCTGTGCTAAGTTCCCTGGGGAGAGAGAGTGTTTCTGTCAGGTGTAAACAGTTTACTCAGGCTGGGATTTTGCACACAGATGAACACAATAAAGGGGATGGTTTTTCTCCTTGATTTCAACCTTTCCCCCGCATCCAGGAGCAGCTTAAGAAAAACAAGCGTTTCCGAAGGTTCGTGCGGCTTCAGGAAGGACGTCCGGAGTTTGGGGGTCTTCAGCTCCAGGACCTGCTCCCTCTGCCTCTGCAGCGACTCCAGCAGTGAGTGAACTAACTCATCCTGACTCAAATCTCTCATTTCTGAGTCTGCTGCCTTCAGCTTTGGGGTCTGCCCTAATCACTTGCCAAATGACTCCTCAGCTTTTATAAGAGTAAATATGTGTCTGCAGATACATGTAAGTTTGACAGGCTATTTCTGCATAATGTATTTATATTTGCTTCAAATATACCCATGAATATAGTAGAGCATTCAGGGGGCAAAGTTAGGAAAATTTAGCCATAACCAGACACATCTTTAGGGAATGAGTGCCTGGGCCTGAGAGCTCAGGACCATAATCTTGGGGAACATCAAGGTCAATGGGCACATCGTAGTCCACAAGGTAAAAGTTCTGCATGCAACTTTGGTGAGGAATGACTGAGGGCTTAAAAGCCTGAGCATCGTAAGATGTAGCTATATATGTCTCCCTGTCTGGAGCAAAGAAGAGTGAAGAAAACCAAAGACTCAAGGAAATAGTCTAAAGGACTAGTGGGTCATGTGAACCCCAGCCCCCATGACCCTGTGACCAGAAACTATAAAATGCTCAGCTATCACTGCTGACTGCTTTGGAAGGGATCACAATAGGAGGTGTCCTGAGTGAGTGGGAGAAGATGTGGAACAAAACTCAAAATCATCAAAAAGAGCTGCCTGCCCTTACTTTTTTCAGTATGGGATGGAGGAAGGCCAAGTGGTATGAACCCAGATTCTAAATCAGATGAAAAAGCGGGATACAATAGCCAAAAGCAGATCTTTTCCTGATTTTCCAACTCAAGTATGCGCAAGGGGTGATCTGTATGCCAGACAGATGGAATCGTGCCTAGTCTCTGCTTCTGATAGGCTTCTGGCTGTCCAATTCCAGGTATGAAAATCTCGTCATTGCTTTGGCTGAAAACACAGGTCCCAACAGCCCTGACCACCAGCAGCTCACACGTACGTTCCTGTTCCTCCGCAGTTCAGGCAGGAGGCTGCCTCTCTTGTACCCCTCTTCTGGTTCTGTCCTCCAAGGATATTTGCTGTGTCCCTACTGCCCTGCCCATTTTTAAGAGGTTGGACCCTGACTCTGGTCTACTTTAGAATAACCTATCTTTCACTGCCACCAAGTACCCCTCAAAGTTGGGATGGGAGTGCGACGAGGGATGTTATTTCAGGTGCTGCTCGGCTGATAAGTGAAACTGCCCAGCGGGTCAATGCTATTGGTCAGAGACAAAAGAATGACCAGCACCTTCGGCGTGTCCAGGCTCTGCTCAGTGGATGCCAGGCAAAGGGGCTTACCTCAGGTAGTCTGCATGCCCCCTCAGTCCTCAACTGCACCCTTCCTATTCTCTCTATTCATTTTCTAGTGCTGCTGTAACACAGTATCACAAACTGGGTCTGTTAACATTGTGTAACGGTTCTGGAGGCAAGAAGTCAAAAACAGGGCAACAGGGTTATGCTCCCTTTGAAGACTCTAGGGAAGAATCTTGGCTTCTTTCAGCTTCTCATTACTTAGGTATTCCTTGGCTTGTAGACACATCATTCCAATTTCTGACTCAGTCGTCACATGACCTCATTCTCTGTGTGTCTGTGTTCTCTTCTTATGAGGATGTCAACTCAATTTAGAGCCCACCCTAAACCAGGATAATTTAATCTCAAGACTCTTAACAAATTATATCGACAAAGCTCCTATCTCCAGGTCCCATTCTGATGTTCCAGTGGACATGAATTTTGGAGGGGTGCTATTTAACCCATTATGCACCTCCTCTATAAAGCTACCACACACTGCTTGTTCCTTTAGCTGCTCTTCTTTTCCCATGGGCCACGTCCTGGGGCTGTACAGTAAGAACTCCCCAACCCCCTAGGGCGCTGGTTCCTACGGCAGGGCTGGCTGCTGGTGGTGCCTCCCCGTGGGGAACCTCGGCACCGAATGTTCTTCCTCTTCACTGATGTGCTCCTAATGGCCAAGCCTCGACCTTCATTGCACCTGCTGCAGAGTGGCACCTTTGCATGCCGCGCCCTCTACCCCATGGCTGAGTGTCAACTCCAAAGGGTTTTTGGCCACTCAGGAGGCCCTTGTGGTGGACTACTCAGTGTAAGTAGTAGGAGAGTGGCATGAGGTAAGGTTTGGGGAAGCCTAGATTATACCTCAAACCCAGTGCATTTGGATTATCTCCTTGGTCTGGGCCCCCTTTCATAGGAACTGAACTATCTACTTTGGTAGAGAGTAGTTGGGACTCGGGCTTCATACCTAGTTCTCATTTCATCCCTAAATCACCTCAATGGAAACAGCAAAAGGTTCCAGCTCTAGCCTGGAACTTTTTAGGCCATGCACTAAGAGATGGTCTCTCCTTAGCTGTCCTTTCCCCAGGAGAAGCTACTACTTATGTCTCTAGACCAGGAGGAGCTGTCACGCTGGTATCACAGTCTGACGTTGGCCATCAGGTAAGTTGGGTCAGGAAGAGTGCTGTGAGGCCCTTGCTCTAACCATTCTGCTAGAGATAAGCAGTTCTCATATGTCTGCTGCTCTCCCTCAGTTTCGGACCTCCCAGTTCTGTGGATGATTTTGTAGGAATAGGGTGCTCATTGCCAGTGCCTGAACCTGTCTTGTTTTCTCTCTGTAGCAGCCAGAAGAATGATTAGAATCTACAATTGCAGAACCCAGAATACCTCAGGAATAGGTCAGAGCCGGGAGTACAAAGGAACCTTCTCTAATGTTAAACACAATGTAGAACCCTTCATAGTTCGAGAACGGTCATCTTGTGTTTGCCTGGGACCAAGCCAAGTTGGGTCATCTGACCTGCTCTTAATCAGGATACCAAGTTTGACCTGATTGAGCCTAAGCCGAATCGGCCCCTTCAACACAAATGACGAGATCTGGGACCAGTAAGCTCAGTGCTGAGGTTAAAGAAGTGTTTGACTGCTAACCATAAGGTCGGCAGTTCAGATCCATCAGCCGCTCTTTGGAAATCCTATGCAAAGTGAATTGGAACCGACTCAAGACACTTACCAACAATAATAATGGCAGAGTTGGAATCAACTTCACAGCAGTTTGGGTGTACCTTTAAGTTGGGTGATGTGTCTACAAGCCAGGCTTTTATCAGGGTTTCAGCTTTGTAAGCATAGCTATCTTTGTGTTGTATATAGTTTCTATAATTTATTTTCCCACTGGATTTAATAAAAGTTTTCTTTTGCATGTCCTTTCTCAGTTATGCTAAATGGAAACAGATTTTTATGCCCTGAAAGTTGGCATGATGGTGGCCTCAGAAAAGAACTGGCGCTCCCTCCGCCTCTGCCTTCCCCCTGGAGAGTGCTGCGTTGTGTCCTAATAAGGGAAGCTTTTTAAAGAAGGCCTAGTAGTTCTTAGGCACCTAGTATGGGTGTGTATACAACCAGCTGGGATGGAAAAAGCACACAGGAGTGCCCAGTCACAAGAATAGGCTTTGTTTTACTAAACCTTCAGCTGCTGTCTCGCCTTCCTTCCCAGCTGGGGCTGTGACAGAGGCCCTTTGCAGCACGGCCTCTTCTTCTGAGCCCTTGCTCCACTTCCCAGGCAGTAGCTAGGTTCCATGTCTCTGTGCTCCAGTGTCTGGATTCCTCCCAGGCCGGACTCTCACCAGCCTCCTCTATACACAAGTCCTCAGGAAAGGGCATGGTGGCCTCTGTCCGGAGAAAGATCAGGCAGGTTCCAGTTTCAGGTTTTGTCTTCACCACTACCAGACCCTCACCTCCAACCCTTTACCTGCTTCTGGAACCTCCACACCCTTGTCCGGCTTCCTCTCTTGTAGCAGGTGATGAATGGTCTGTAGCTTCATGTTCAGAAGCTCCTGCTGAGCTCCAGTCAGAGTAGTTACACTGCAGAAATGTCCACTTGTGGGCTGCCCACCCCATGTCCCCACCCTTCCTACCACCTGCCCTCAATTGTAGCCACACGGTCATTATTCTCCTTACCACTCAAAAAGGGGATCCAGCTGGGCCATGAGGTGGTTCAGGTGCTGCTCTGTCTGGGCCAGCTGCTCTGTCAACTGGGCCAGCTGTTGCTCTAGGGTTAAAGGAGAAGACTGGGACAATGGATATTTGTCTTTTGCTACTCCCTGGAGTCCTGGTGTGGCACTGTGGGTTAATGTGCTGGACTTTGTAGGCTTGAACCACAAGGTCGATGGTTCAAGTTCACCAGTTTCTCCTTGGAAACCCTATGCAGGGTCACTATGAGTCACAACCATCTCAATGGCGTATAACACAGCAATCCCCCACCAAACAGACTTCTGCAAGACTCACCTGACTGCAATGATTCCTTGTCTGCCTCCTCTTGGGTAACTGCAGTCTCATCTTTCCCCTGCTGTGGAAGGAGAGGGCCAAACTGCAGCAAGGGCCCGCTCTCATCACCTCAGCATGCAAAGCCAGTGAGACCATTTAGGCAGAAAATCTCATCTAGTCTAGCACTCCACACAGGACATAAAGCAACATATTAGGCCCCCACACATGGTCCTACTGGGAGCATGTCGGATAACTCAGTAAGCAAGGTAAGCACACTGTCATTCGTGCTTTGTAATCTGTAGTGAACAATTTCACTTTTCCCCACCACATCGAAGATTCTGATTCTAGGTATGGCCTTCCTACAGAGTCAGTCTCTCCAAATTGATTATCCCCAATAGGGACAGAGTACCTAGTAAGCAAGGTAATCATAGATTTACTTGTGATTTAATAAGAATTACTCATCTGTAGCAAAGTTTCACTTTTGTTTACCATGTCATGTGAAATTGTTCAGTACAGATTGGTATGTAAGCACAAGTAAGCCTGTGCTTACCTTGCTTGTTGGGTAGTCTGCCCTTGTCCAGGAGTGAGCAGCTCTCTCCAGTTTATAATAGCTCTGGTTATTAGTTCTTATATAAAACCAAACTTTGTCCATGTATCGTCATGCTGTGGTGCTGATTAAGCTTCCAAAATAATGGAACATAATGCCCCTGAGGAATTTGAAGACAGTAATCATAACACCCTTTCCTCTCCCCCAACATTTCCTGAGTCTCCTAATTTTAGTTTAATAGCCCCAAATTTTCAGTCAGTACTCATGTGACATGGTTTGTCGGGCTGCTTTACTGTGAGCATGTGTCCTGAAGAGAATGAAATTCTCCAGATAACGCATAACTTTATCTACCTTATTCCTAGCATCAACTGGGGGAAGTGGGCTTGTCACACCAGCTTATAGTCAAGTATTTTAAGTTCCTTAGAGATGGTTCCAACTCATAGCGTCCCTGTTATAGGGTTTCCCGAGGAACAGGTTTGAACAAAGACCTTAGTTAGCAATCCAATGCTTATCCTATAGCTCCACACCAAGACTCCTTGTCAAGTATGAGGGATCTTCAAAAAAGATTGTAGAAGAGTTCTGTTATCTTTTATTTCTATTTACCCATGAACTTTTTGAAGCCCTCTCTTGTAGAAGTCTCGTTCAGAGATACAACTGCTAACTCCTGTTTCTTCCAGTCTGAAACTGGGTCCAACAACATCAAGTGTTACCTCTATTAAATTTCATTATGTAGCCTGTCAAATCTAGTTGTTATCCGAATGCCAATTAGCCATCCCTTTTAATTTCCCAGTTTCTATCCACTAAAATGTACTGCAGGGCACATTTCAGGGTCTCTTCCAAGAACTTTGAGATGCCTGGTGCCTTGAACACTAAAAACACTGCCGACAGCAATCAATCAGACGCTCATGTCAAATTTGGCACTTCACCAGGAATCGCGGTTGGACACTACTTGATGCTGCTGTTGTCGGGGTCAAATCCAGCTCTGAGAGATTTCGCACAAGTGACTTGCTCTCTCTTCACTGGGTTGTTGGTTGTAAATTAAAACGTGACGGTCATTATTATTTACAATTTACCAAGCACTCTTTACACTCATTACCTCCGTGGAGCCTTCAAATAAAAGCGTACTGTGAAAAGCCAAGAGACTAACGTCTTCATTTTAACAGGCGGACGGGATGAAACGTCCTGTTCCTAGCCCCCCGCGCCCTCCAATCGATCCCGCACCTGCAAACACTTGTACAGCACAAAAGCCACGACGGCCGCAGTGTACAGCGCCCCCAAAGGCAGAGCCCCAGCTCGGGCTCGTTCGCGCTGGTTCTTGGGCGGCGGCGGCCGCCGAGGTTCCGTGGCCCCAACGCCGGTCTGGGTGGGGTCCCCTGCGGAGGGAGGGCAGAGACAGGTCAGCATAGCTGGGGCCTCGCCCCCTGGGGCAGTCCCAGCCGCCTTCCACAGCCCTCGCTGGTACCTGGGTGTGCCCGGAGATCGGGGCTGGGGAGGTCTCCGAAGAGTCCGGATAGCACAGACATAAGTAACAGCCCCAGCACTCCACAGAACGAGACCACCCAAGACATAGCGAGCCAGCAAAGAAAGAGAGCCTAAGGGACCGAAGCGTTCCAGCGACGGCCGGCCGCCCCAGTGCGCACGCGCACACGTGCTCACCCGCTTTAGGCTTCACTGGAAACCAAGCATATACGATGTGAAGGCGGAGTCAAAGTTATTTGCATAAGGCACTGTGGGCCCAGTTTTTCTAAACTAGTCCATTTCTTACCTATTTAGTTATACTATTAGGGAGGATGCTCCGTAGAAGCTTAAAATCTTAGAAAGGTCTATCTAAAAGTTCTTTAAAATTTTTTCATAGCATTAGCTTTCTCACCCTAAGTTAAAAAGAAATTGTCTTTTGTTCCTATAAATACTCCGCTTACGGAACTATCGCGGTAGTTCGTGCTGAAGGCCTGTATCCTAGGCTACAGACGGAGGACCTAGTTCCTTGACACAGTGCCTAGGGGAAAGTCCCCGGACTTTGGGCAGAGAGTGCCGCGCGCGCATGCACGCAGACCCACTCGCTTCTCACAGTACACCGCTAAGATGCTACCTGGCCTCCTGTGGCCGGCGAGCTGAGCGGCGTGATGGCGGGGCGTCATCCGTCAGCAGCGATAGTTACGCAGGCAGTGCACTTCTGTGCGCCAACCACACGGGGCTCATTCTCAGCGCGGCAGCGATTTTTGTCCTCGAAGAGGAACACACTTTCTCCAAACTGCCCCCTCTTTTCTCTTTCCCACTCTTTATGTCTGGAGCCGGCGTTCTGGTGTGGTGCTGTGGGTTAATGCTGGACTACAAAGTCAGTTTGAACCTCAAGGTCGACGGTGCAAACTCACCAGCCCCTCCTGTGGGTCGGAACCGACTTGACAGCACTTAGCAACAACATCTGGATGCGTGGCATCAGGATTGGAGGAAGACTCATTAACAACCTGCGATATGCAGATGATACAACCTTGCTTGCTGAAATTGAAGAGGACTTAAAATATTTACTGATGAAGATCAAAGAGCACAGCCTTCCGTACGGATTGCATCTCAATGTCAAGAAAACAAAACTCCTCACCACTGGACCAATCAACAGCATTCTTATCAAGGGATAAAAGATTGAAGTTGTCAAGGACTTCATTCTTCTTGGATCAATTAGTTATCAACACTCACGGAACCAGCAGTCAAGGAATCAAACAATGTATTGCATTAGGCAAATCTGTCTGCACAAGACCTTTTTAAAGTGTTGAAAAACAAAGATGTCAGGCTTGAGGATTGAGGTGCACCTGACCCAAGCCATGGTATTTTCAATAGTCTCATATGTATGTGAAAGCTGGACAGTGAATAAAGAAGACCATAGAAGGAAGAATTGATGCATTTGAGTTGTGGTGTTGGAGGAGAATATTGAAAGTGCCATAGGCTGCCAAATGAACCAACAGATCTGTGTTGGAAGAAGTACAACCAGAGTGTGATCCTTGGAGTCCAGGATGACCAACCTTGGACATATTGTCAGGAGGGACCAGTTGCTGGAGAAGGGTATCATGTTTGGTAAGGTGGAGGGTCAGAGAAAAAGAGGAAGACCTTCAGCGAGAAGGATTGTCAAAGTGGCAGCAACAGTGGGCTCAAGCATGGCAACAATTGTGAGGTTGGCCCAGGATCGGGCAGTGTTTCATTCTTTTGTGCATAAGGTTGCTATGAGTCGGTACCGACTTGATGGCACTTAACAACAACAAAATACAATCAGACCACCTCACAAAAAACACTAAAGGGTGTTCTTTGGACAGAAAATCAACAACTGCAGACAACAATTTGAGACTAACATACATGACAATATCACCTAAACTGAACTCAGATACGGAAATATTCGAAGAAAAGCAGACCTACAAAATTGAAAATAGAGAATCAGAGATGCAGTTGCAACAACAAAATCTCATGAAATTAAAAAAAAAAAAAAAAGAATAATATAGTTACAGAACTTCTAAATGAAGAGGGAATCAAGTAGATTTCAAGAAAAAATAAAACAAATAAAAATAAGACTGATTGTAACCCTAAAAGCTAGACCAAGCCTTATTCCTAGCCCTAGACCAACCTATACCCCTAACCTAACCTTACTCCTAACTATAACCCTAACATTAAACAAAGTTTTAGGCCTAGCCTAGATCTAGCCATAGTCCCAATTATAATAACCCTCATTCTTAGTTTCTACCTACCTCCCCCTAACAATATGTATATGTATGTATGTATTATATATA